TTATATTCATTATCCAAATGAACCCTAATGCTTACTCTAGACTTGCTACCTAGAGTATTGATTTTGGAGTGACTAATCTAATAGTCATCTTCCTGAAATCATTTGGCTAAACCCAGACTCTATTAAGGCACGATGCGATAGCCGGTCTTATAGAAATTCTCGGGTGAACAATAGTTCGATCCGATCTGATACTTAATATTGATTGATACTCTTCTAGGGTATCGATCGACGACAACTTATATCGATCGACACTGCGATAACAACATCGATTGATGCATTCGGCAATCAGATCAATGGACAAGTCTAACTAGCGTCAGCTATAGATTTGTCTAAGGATTGAAGTTTTCATATATTTGCAAGCAATTCGTTAAGACATCCATAGATCTATAATCCTGATTTTCTGAATAGTAACCTTGAATCTAACTATTTTTCTTCATCGTTTTCAAAACCAAAACCTATTTTCTTTAGCAACTTACCATTGCTACTTATTTTATTTACTGTTTTAAACCTTTTTCAACCTAGCTTAATCACTTAAGATTATATCTTTTGTGTCTCTAGTTCCTTGTGGATTCGATCCCTAAGTACTACGATTGAACCTCTTTTGATGAGAGTAATTCACTCCTTAGGGTAATTTGAGTGATATCAGACCTCCTCAAAGAGCACTTGGGGAAAGTAATAGGAAACGGTCAAGACACGCGAGTGTGGAAGGACTCTTGGATTAGTCTGGATTCAGTTGTCAAACCATATGGACCAATTAATGAAGCAGATCTAGACTTACATGTTTCTGATTTGCTGACGGACTATCTAAAATGGAATACGGATAGAATTGAAGAATTCCTACCTGACTTTCGACAACAAATACTTTATCTCAAACCTAGTATTGTTGGAACAGAAGACTCCCACGTCTGGCTCCCCCTCTCCTCAGGTGTCTATTCGACAAAGTCTTGATACAACATCGCCGCAAAAGCTTCTTTGGACCAATCTCCACCTATGGTGGTGTCTGCGATAAACCCAAACCGTGACTTCTCTTGGATTAAAGACATCTGGTCAGGCTTTTTCTCTCCTAAGATGAAACTGTTTCTTTGGTCTATAATCCAGAGAGCACTCCCTCTGGGTCAAAACTTACAGAATAGGGGAGTACTTGTGGATGCGCTATGCCCCCCTTGTAAAGAGCCTGAGGACGCAATGCACGTCTTTTTCAATTGTCCTTTTGCCAAAGAAGTCTGGAAACATGTACCTATCAATCAACCAGTTCACCTAGCTGAGGATGTGGACTTCATGAAAGTTATGATTCTTTTTCGTAGTAGAATTTGCTTACCTCCAGTGGGAATCAAGCATAGTATCCTTCCGTGGATCTGCTGGGTACTCTGGATTGGCCGTAACATACTCCTGTTTGAGAACAAAACGACGACACCAAGAGAGACGGCCACCAAAGGTCTTTGTCTGGCCAGGGAGTGGGATCTAGCACAACCATCACCGCCGATTCAGTGTAACAGACCTCTTTCTGCAGGTACTCCCCTCCCCCCCACGAATCACCAGGCAAGGAGCTACTTCAATCTTCACCGATGCCGCCTGGAGCGCCGCTGATCGCACCGCCGGTGTGGCGTGGAGCATGAAAGATGACCAACTGCAACAGGTGGACTCCGGATCGCAAGTATTGACCTCTGTGATTTCACCGTTGATGGCGGAAGCCATGGCTGTTAGGCTAGGAATCGTCACCGCAGTTTCTTTGGGAATCGCAAATGCTACAGTCTTATTCGACTGCTCAACGCTCATTAGAGCAATCAACCTCAAGCTACAAGTTAAGGAGATTTACAGCATCCTGAAAGATATCGAACACCTCTCCCTTAATTTTGCTTCTATCTTCTTTTTCCACATCCCTCGTTCTCAGAATGGGGATACTGATGATCTTGCTAAACAGGCCCTTAGGACCCGTTCTTTTTTTCTGTTGTCACCCGTACTTTTTTGGGCTAGCCCAGTCGGGCCCAAACTGCATATTTTTAATGAATGTGTTTCAAAAAAAAAAAAACATAACTCTTCATAACGAAACGTAACTTTTCACAAATGACTAACTACCATTCGTGTATAAACATGTCACGACCCTTACAAACGCACCCACTGGACACATACTTTATAATTTAATTATGTAAGTTATATCAAACTCAATTTTCGTGTTCCAGAAAAAATATCAAACTCAATTAAAAAATAACAAATGCAACTGAAATTAATTAGGGATAATATGGTGAAATAGATCAGAAATTTTAGAAACCCAATATTTGTCAAGCGATTTACAGACATGCGAAAAACAAATTTCCAAGCCTTCAAGTTTTAAGTCACAGGAACAGGGCAACATCTATTTTATAGGATAATAAGAAACAAACCTAAAATCAACACTTTGTGCAATCTGAAGAACGTGGACAATTTTAATCAGAGTTATCTTCTGGCTCACTGTTATTGCCCTCGTACATTTTATCCTTCAGAGACCGAAAGCATGAATTGACCATGAAACAATGCTAAAATATTGAGTTTAAAGACACCAACTTTCACTTTCATAGATATTTCGAAAACTCTGTGAAGAGAAAACATGTAATCAGACCAGATCCCAGAAACAAAAAGATTTTGTTAAAAAAAAACATAAGTGTCCTCATCTATGCATGTCTTTATGTTCTGTCCTGTTTGTGTATGTGATTTTTCGATGTTTTTTTATTTTGATAATCATAGCTAGGAATGGGTAGTGCGGTAGAAAATACGAGATGCTTGGCATATATCTCCAGAGATCCACCGTGTTACTCACTCTCACGTGAGTTCTCCTAGAGATAGCGTCCGCCGCGTCTATCTTCTTCGTCTATGGTCTTATCCCTCAGATCTTTGCCTATGCCGTGAACTTCCCGATCCAGAAGTTCCTACAGTCGCAAAGCATCGTGGATCCGAATGCAGGAAGATTAGTGGAATGATGTGTAAAAAAAACATGAAACGTGAAATATATATAATGATAAGAGAGGTGTCATTCAAGGGTTGTGTTGTTTGAGGAGAGGGTTGCGTTGTTTGATGAGGAGACCTTTAGGGAAAAAATGCCAACAAAGATAAATTTTTGATGATGTCACCGAGAGAACTTAATATCCGTTAGATCATATAAACAAATAAACTTAACCCTTGGATTCTAAATTTTTTTTCCTATAAAAAAAGGATGATGTCAGTTTTGGTTTGCTATTATATATAGATTATATAGTCTGCATCATTTTTTTATTATCCCGAGCTAATCTTTTGTGTGTAGTGAGATGTTAAAAAAGGAAAGGATGCTTTTGTGTGATCATACTTGTACAAATATCTTTTTGAGCTTGAAGTATTATGTATTTATATATAAATTGCGGTGAAATGCATGCATATTAATTAGGGTTCGTCATAGCACTGCTCTTTCCCTGACTAAATTGCTCNTCATTTTTTTATTATCCCGAGCTAATCTTTTGTGTGTAGTGAGATGTTAAAAAAGGAAAGGATGCTTTTGTGTGATCATACTTGTACAAATATCTTTTTGAGCTTGAAGTATTATGTATTTATATATAAATTGCGGTGAAATGCATGCATATTAATTAGGGTTCGTCATAGCACTGCTCTTTCCCTGACTAAATTGCTCATATCTTTGCTTTTACAAATGCCACACAAGGTCTAGGAAAGTAAACATCTTCAATGTGTTTTGTTTATTTAGTGTCTCATGAGAATAATTAACATGCAGTGCACTTCATGAAATAAGTAACAAGTGCCAATGACAATGCATCGAAAAGAAAAGAAGTGTTTGTTTATAAAATACCAAAAAAAAGAAACATATGTTAAGAATCCGATGTCAGCTCTGCTTATATAATTCCGATTAAGTCTTAAGTTCTTTTACATTGAATCGATTGGAGCAAGTTAAGATCAACTTATACTCAAGAACACGAGAGAGTTGTTCACTCGGTGTTCACCGCACTTCTCTATAACCGAGAGAAGCCGCTATATATCACTGGAGCTAGATTAGGCTAACAATTCACTACGTTATCGAGTGATTAACAAATGTGTTTTTCCCTGTTTAAAGGTATTACAAGCTCATATACAAAGTTCCGTTCGGAGAAGATTACCAAAACGATTGCGACGGTGACGAATCACTATCAGCCTCTGAATCCTCTGATGACGAAGACCCGTAACCGTGAACCGGAGAAAGAACGGCGATCTAAAAAGCTTGGGATCACTTCGGGATCTCCCTATCTTGATTGAACAACTTTCTCCTCCTCTGTGTATAATTGTCTCTCTCCCTCTGTATTTTTCTCTGAACTCTGCTCTCTGTAAACCGTGCCGTCTCTCTTATGAAGAAGATGACTCTAACAGCGATCAGAACCTACCCGTAACAACATTGAAACGCATACGTTTTGACATCTTAAATTTTTGGAAAGAAACTCTGAGTTCTCAGATTGAACTACCACCAAAAGACCGAGTTCTCTACCCTTTTGATTGCATCAGTTGCCGATTTTTTCAGCTTCTATGAGAGCAACTTGGATCCGAACATCATCTTTAGCCATACTCGAACTTGGAACCATTTCAGTTCCTTTAGTTATCTTGGATTGGCTCAAAGAATTTGACCATGATGTGCCTTCTAGATACAAGTTTTCTCTTCTTCTAGCTTCTCTGCGTCAACATCATAACCCAAAAAAAATACTTGTGTAGTGTAAGTCACAACTCACAAGCAAGACTCAAAGACCATATACCTAAACAGTGACTATTACTTTTGTAGTTACCACACAAGAAGATGTAACCAAAACCTTGTAAAAATTAGGTATCCATTGCAGGGAAACCATATATGGCAAGTATCTGGCGCTTTTCTGCAAATGTAAATTGCTTTCTTGGACTGCAAGTCTCTCATTTTCCTGCAAGAAAAAAAGTTGAGTCTATAACTCTATTCTCGTTTAAACCACTTACATTGAATAGTGTCTTATCAGCTGCTGCTCCCATGACAAGTTTCTTTTCATAATGGAAATCATTTCAATATATATTCTCTATGCATTGACGTAATCATTTCACAATTAAACTTGAGAATCAAGAAATCAAAAGTGTATATTTAAACAAATAATGCTATAGTTTTAAAAGTTAATAGTTCTCTTTATATATTTTTAATTTTCTTTTGAAATTACACACCTTAAATTTAGAAGTATAACTCAAAATTCATAACGTTTAAACCTTAGTTTACACATCTATTTTTAAAAAGTTAAGCTCGACGGCTTCATTTACAGATGTTATAGATGGCTTTGAGTATGATAAATCATACCTGCATTTGCCTACATATATGAAGGTACTTGTCCAACTTATCAAGTGCTCTCTTCTTTTCTTTCCAATAACGCCGTAGTTTCTTCGCTCCCGCTTAAAATCAAGAAAACAATATTCAATTATAAACCACAAAAAATCTGTAAACTCACTATAACAATCTGAAAAAAAATCTGTAAACTCAGCACAATACGAATATCTACTTACGGGCTAAGATTTGGATAGGTTGATGAACATAGACGATGCAAAACTCTCTGCCTCCAGTGTTCTGTATCGCCCAAACGAGACTAGACTTGCTCTCCAGATCTCTCTTTGTCACTGCTACATATATCTTCTCATCCATCACCGTCTCTCTTTTGCTAATCTCCATTGATTCACCGTCATCGACACCACCATCTCTTGTACATCCAGCCATTTTCACCTTTTCTTGAATCTTTGACTTCATATATATATAGTCACTCCGATCCACATAAAGATCTGAGTAATCCTGCAGAAATTAGTGGTAAAGATTTGATCTAACAGAGTATTTTATAAGCCAAACTATTCAACTTCCAAATATATATAGGGAGAAGCAAAAGGCTGCAATTATCAGACAAAACACGTTATCTGATCACTAATCCGTGTTAATTATAACCCGAGTAATCACATATGTTACTTAGAAATCTGTGAGTAGATAAGTATCTGACTTTCAAAGAACCAACCAAATAATCTGAAAGTGATGGTCTCAGTCTTTGTCAAGAGAATTTAAGAACATAGGAAAGTGAGAAAGAAATTTCAGCTGTAGTACTAAATAATCTCAGAACATTCTTAAGGTCTCATGTCGTCCAAAGTTACGTATGCATGCTTACTTCAGCGCTGATTTTAGTTTTACGGTTATGGCCCTGATAATCAACCTTTTTATAATAATAGTAACTTAGTAAGATAACATATTTAGAAATTCTTTTCAAGGGAAAAATTGGGAAAGTCAGTTGGATTAAAACTCAAACTTACTTACCGAAAGTAACCATTAGATGTTCTAAGTAATTCAGATTTTCAGTGTTCACTTCAAAATCATTCGGATCATTGAAATCATATTCTTGTAAACTAGTCATGTAACTTATCTACCTTTGAAATAATTCTTGAACAATTTATATGTAATAGAGTGTAAATAATGGAAGTTGTCCTTTTCAAATGAAATAAAACAATTATTTCTTTGGACTATTTCAAACATACAATTTTTGATGGCATCAGCCACTGCATTTAACAACGAAATAAAACTATATATATAAAAATATATGAATTTATGCACATATATCAAAACTTAAGCTAAACGAGTACGTGGTGATTATCTAACTCCTACTTGTACTTTTTCAACTAACTCTCCGGATGATGATGTCTCGTCGTTTGTTTCCTTATTTGTACACCAACTCT